AAGTGGAGGGGGGGGGGGTGGGCACTTTACCGACCCATGGAAGCGATCTGGTGGCAGCTGAGCCGCCACAATCGTTTCTATTGTAAAGCCGGCAGCAAAAGGGTTGTTTAAACGGGCAGCAAAAGGGTTAAATATTCAGAAGATTGGTGGAAATGTGATAAAGCACAATAGCTCCAGTGAGGCCGCTGTCAAGAAAAATGTGATGTCCCCAAACATTGGAACCCAGAACTGCAGCTACACGTATACGAAGTCTAACATGAGCACCAGTGGCGTAACAATCACCATAGCGCCCCAGGCGGCCGCTATGGGGCCCGGGGCATGGTGGGGCCTGGACAGATGCTGCGCGGGCCACCTATAACTAGAAATCACAGGGCCCCATACAAAATTTTGCTATGGGGCCCTGTGATTTCTAGTTACGCACCTGATGAGCACCAAACAAGAGCGTACATGAGTCCAAAAACATTTATTAGTGTTGCTAATTCACAGATTTTTAGATACACCCAAATAACACAACAAATAATTAATCCCTGGTGATTTGAGTCTATAATACTACCCATTATTTTTAAGCCTTGAAAGAGTGGAAGGTCTTTGAGCCCTCCGAAGGGTGTTGGCTGTTCTGTGTTGTCATTTGTTATCTCAGTCTATTATTAAAAAGACTCCCGTACTGTCTTGTTTAGTGCTCCCATTGGTCTTTGTACACAGATTTTTATTGCTGTCTGCGTCCCTGTTAGGAGGATGCACCCTCTTTATTTGTCCTGTTGACTGTTATCACCAAGTGTTAAAGTAAAAAAATCCCAAATTTTGAGTTGTCACCAGAACAGAAATAGAGGGAAAATCTTCCAAAAGGACACTAGTTCTGGTGATTTCCCTCACTTTCTTTCACTTCCTGTTGTGGCAATGGGCCACAGATTGCAAAAAAAACTGACAGGGGTTATAACCCTCCATTACTCTGTCCCAAAAAAATAGTTTTGGCTTTAGTTCAACCGTAATCACATTATATGAATAACAAAAATTATAAACAATAAGGGGGTAAACTTGTTAAACAAAAAAAAAAGAAGTTGACAAAAAACTATTATAGTTTACCTTTACCCCGGGACCCCAGTTCTATTCCTTGGGATATCCTATAGTAAAACTAGGAGAAGCAAAACTCTTGTTTAATATTGCATGGGTTCTGAAGCTTGAAGCTGGCTGTACCATTTACAATATTGAAACTCATAGAATGAGTCTCTTTTGCATTTTCACAACCAATTAGACTGTCATGGTCTGCAGACCGGAGTACTAAGGTACGAGGGCTCCGAGACTTGTGGAAGGGGTTGGAGTCACAGACAGGAGAGATTCCTGGGAAGTAGGACACAGGGAACTTAAGAACTAAGAGTCTGTGCGTTATTGGGGACGCACTAGAGGCGCAGAATCTAAGAAGGGCCAGGTCTTCGACAGAGCCTCTAATGGTGAGGATGATTGGCTGCTGGACACCTTCCAGGCTGCGGCCCTCTAGCGCACCCACACAGACTCAGAGGCTAGTGCATCGGGGAACAGAATACAGAAACACGTAGGGAAGAAATTTGAAACCAAGAGGAGGAAGATGGGAACTGTTGCACACAAGAAGCAAGAGAGAGTAACTCACAAACAAGAAAAGGTGCATACACACAGCACAGGACTTAGGAGACAGTAACACACAGGAAAGGTAAGTAGCTAGAGGTATACTTAGGAGCACAAAAGGTATAAAGTACTAAAAGAAGGACAAAGAGATAAATGCACACAGAGGGTGTGCAGATAAGGAAGTATACGAAGTGCAGGTATAGGAGGTAAATGCACACGGGGTGTATGGTACAAGAAAGAATCCAACATAGCTACAAGGTAAAAGAGAAGCAAAGAAGTAAAGGGGTAAATGTGTAGCACAAGGTGGAAGATACACTGGAAAGGGGAGCGAACAGGAATACAGTACACAGGAGAAGTAATACTGAAGTACAGAGAATGCAAGTAAATAGGAGGAAGCAAATACACAATGGCTGGAGTGGGAAAACACAGACGTTATTAGGCAATGAAGGCAGTATAGAGAGACTCACAGCATACTGGTGAAAGCAATTGAAGGTCTGCAGCAATATTCAAAGATACACACTAGAATTAGACTAAAGCAGAGGCACAAAGAGCAAAGCAGGGTATAAAGCCAAACAGGTACACCAGCTGGATACAAGGAAGCCAAAAGCACAGGGAAAGGGATTCACAAGAGAAACAAGGGGTACAAAACAAGACAAAAGACTTGTTGCACGCACCCCAAGTAAGGCCCCATTCACACTGAGCGACAAACCTTACAAGCGCATCCGCGTGGCCGGGATAGAGCGACTGTTAGGGGCGACGTTCCAGCGACGATCGCGTGACCGTCACCATTCAAAAAAAAAAATCGTGTGACATCCGCGGGAAAAAGGGTCCTGTTGAAGCGACATGGAGCTGTACATTAGAACAGCTCCATTAAATAACATTGGCCAGCAACTTCTCATGATATCGCGCTGCAAAAATGTGCGATATCGCGGCAGAAATCGCGGGATTTTCCACTCAGTGTGAATGGGGCCATAGGTAGTGTTAATAGGGAAGGAGGAGTGCAGATTGGCTGCAGCCTTGTAAAAGGCCATAGGCTTACAACCTAGAACCAGGGAGCAAAGGGAAAATCTAGCAGGGATTTCCGGATATTGTGACATAGACTTTCCTTGTCATTCTCTTGTACTGTAAATCTAAATAGTTATTTGCTGCAACACAATAAGGGACACTTATTAATTTGGTTGTATCATCAGTGTCTTTTAAAATGTTGCATCCCTGATTTCTAGTGCATATCAGATTTATTATCCTAGTTTGTGTTTCATTCCTAAGCTCATGTGCTATTTTGAGCGACAGGCGTATTTCTACTTGCGACAAAACCCACAGGTGTAAATGGGGGCCATAGAAATTAATGGGATTCCTTGGGTGGAGCGTTTTGTTGCGCTGAATCACCTGCGGCAATGCGCGTAGGTATGAATGGAGCCTGGATGCCTTTGTAAGCAGAATTTTCTCTACATTGTTGCAAACTTGTAGGGAACCAACTGGAGGAAGGCTAAATAGCTCTAAAGCGCTTCGCTGTTTTGAGGGTATGAAGCTGAATTTCTGTGTGCTAGAATGAGCAACAGTTTGGAGGTCTTTTTATTATGCAAATTCTTGGCGCAGTTGAGAAATTATGTCAGATGTCACAAAACATGAGCTGTGTGTCACATTTAAAAATGACACATAAAGATAAAACCTTGTAGTTAGCTTCAAATGTTGGTTTTTGCAACTAAAAATGTTGTCGCAAACACATTCATAAATTCCCCTCAATTTATCTGAGGTAGTTATTTATGCAGATACTTTGATTGAGTCGAAATGTGTTCAGATTATAAAATGTTTTGTACGTGTTATATATCTTGACTATATGTCTTGATATTCTTTCTAAACAGGTGTACGAGCAGTTGTACGATACTTTGGATATCTCAGGTAATGCAGAAATACGGGCACATGCCACTGCCAGGGTAAGTTTTTGTGCCATATAACACTGACCCTCTTTCTGTCTTTCAGATTTTCTTATGGAGACACAAAGTATAATAATGTCTGCTTATAGAGAACCTGTATTAAAAATAAATGATTAAGTTGAACAAATAGTTTTTATACTCTATGGTCAATAAGTGAGCTCTACTAAGCTCTTTCCCTGCCCCACTGAAACCATATTCAGGTCCAGCAATTGACCACCCTGGCACTAAGCACTGCATTGTTAAAAGGTGGAGACCGTGTGTACATATGTGCAGAAATCCCAGCATTTTTAAGCCCTCATTCACACTGAGGATTTTTGTAGCGCACTTTCTGCTTGAAAAAATGCTAAAAAAAAAGACCCATTCATTTCTATAGGCATGTTCACATCTGATCATTTTGTCGCTTGTAGCAAAACGCCCATCACTTGAAGAAAGTACGTGAGGTTCTTTTTGGCAGATTCTGCTCGTTGGCCCCATAGACCTCAATGGAAATGCTCAAAATGCGCACTTGTTGCATTTTTGCAAATTTTTACGTGCATAAAATGCGCGTTTGTCCATTCACATCAATGACTCAGTAGTTGTGATTATATATACATAGTTGAAATTAAATTCAGCCATTTTCTTCCTGACACATGAGTAGTAATGGCTATTTTAGGTTATGTTTGCATTAATGGTCTTCTGTCTGATTCTTGTGATTGAATGGCACAAGGGTAGCTATAATGTTATTTGTCACATTCAAGAGAATGAAGATATATTGGCTAACAATGCCTTTTTATTTAACCCTGAGGTTTCTTTGGCAGTTATTTTTGCCAGATGGATTTACCCAATTATTGGCCAATGTTTACATTGGTTTTTGAAAGCACAGTTATACAGTATTTTCAGTCACAAAAATCCTTTTTCTCAGTTTATTATTTAGCACTCTAGACGTATAAATGACATGTTGTTTGTCGCTAGGGGTGATTACTCTTTGGATACTTTTTTTTATTTGTTTGAATAGTTATCAGATACAATTACAATCTACAGGTCATTCTGATATGAGTGTGTAAATGTATCCCTTTTAAGAAAGAACACACCATGTATTATTCTATGCCACCTTATGTCATCATGTCAGGTCGTGTCATTATGTCAGATTTAGGAGTAGAGGTTATCCTACCTGGGTTATTAATTGTGATATACAAATATGCTTAGGTTCACAGGCTGTTTGTCTAACTCAACATAAATTCTGGAAATTGTGAACTTGTGTTCTGTGGGGAGTGGGGCCCTCTGTTTTATGCAGCTTAAAGTGTGACATTGGAAAAACACGAATCCTTCAAATTACATGCTTGGGAGATGCCTTTATTTTGTATGTGGTGTAACAGAACAGTGCAATTGACAAGGACAGGGTTAGCTACACTGTATTCTGGCATCGCATAACTTGTATGTATAATATATATTTTTTACTTTTTCATTATTCCCTGGCTTGCATACAGCAGCACTGCAATCTGATTCATTTCAACTTGAATAATAGTATTTTTTAGGTAGATTTTGCTGCAACATCTGATTTTTTTATCTAGCTGTGATAGTCCAGAATTGAGAAGTGGAAGTAGTAGACACAACAGATCTAAAAGATATCGGAAGGTTTACACATCCATAAAAATAAAGCTAATGCCCTCAGATTCATACCAATTGCCAAACAGTTGTAACACAGTTTATAGCACAGCTTGTTATCTTCTTTTTGTGCAGTACCACACTGTATTGTCTACAAAGTTTAATAGAAATGTCAACACAGAGTGAACAAAAACACTTCAAAACCACAAACCTCTTTCCAGAGATAAGGCAGCTGTTATGCTACAATAAAAAGGTAATATTTCAGAGACAATAGCCAGATATATAGGACCATGGCTGGAGAGTATGTAAGCAGCTTGATTGGGCTGCAATGTAAGAGAGAAAGAGATGATGCAGTTTTTATCAAGACATAAAAATGAAAGTGCATTATTTTAGAGACAGCATCCAGAAATATTGTACATATTGTACAGACTCTCTGCACATTATGTAAGCAATTCCACTAGGTGTAATGTAGAGGGAGAGGTTAGGCAGGTTTTATTGGCAAATACAATTTAAGGTGTATTTTTTCTGAGGCAAAGGCCACTGAAGCTGTTGCAGCCTTGAAACGGTCACACAGCATGCAGCTTTTCATCCCACAAAAATCCATATTTAAGTGTATATGTGTGAGGAAAAAAAAGAAATATTGTGAAACCTACATACACAGCATTTCAGAAGTTGGAGTAGGCCACAAATTAAAATTGATACACTGCACGCAGGCCAAATACACATAAAGTGTATTTTTACACTAAAAAAAAGAATATTGTGCACACTGCATAGGCATTATTTCCACAATGTCATGCATTCCTCATTTTCTAAACCACATCCCTCAATTAGCTTTTAAAGTTTATATGTTTTAGATTAAAGTAGCAGTAATATACACTTGGCACTACAAATACCCAATTAAAATACCCTGTTTCCCCGAAAATAAGACCTACCCCGAAAGTAAGACCTAGCACTATTTTTCAAGATTCCTGTAATATAAGACCTACCCCGAAAATAAGACCTAGTTTGCTGGTAGCATGTGAGGGGGAACTTGAAGAGCAGGAAAGATGGTATCAGCCTGCAGGGGCATACTGTATTAAGGGGATGACAGGAGACTCCCTCTGGCCAGTGCAATGACAGGGAGCTCTCCAGTACCAAACTTCCCCAACTGCTGTCCCCCTGAAGGCACTGTTTAATGTAATGGTACGGTACTGTAATGTGTACCGGTAATTGGTACTGTACTCACTGCTGCACCGCTGGTACCACTGTCCCTGATGGCAAAGGAGGCCAGTGCTGTAGAAAGCAAGGCTGCGGCGGCGGAGGGAGCAGAGTCGCATTAGCCGATATTCCTCTATAGCGCCGGTTACTATCTTCTAACATAACTTTGGATTGTTGTACATTTTGTTGCACATAAAAATAAAAAAATACGACATCACCTGAAAATAAGACCTAGTGTGTTTTTTTGGGGCAAAAAAAAATATAACACAGTGTCTTATTTTCGGGGAAACACGGTAGTATTTTCATGATCTATTGGCACTACAATAAATTATGGCAAAAAATTTTATAATGCAAAAGATAGAGCAGCCGGGGCACCCAAACATCTTCAGGAAGTTAGTACAGCCAACCACAGAGAGGGGGAGTTCACACCAGAGTTTGCATTGGGAGCGTAATTTAGCAAGTAGGGGGGAAAGTTTAAGAGAGACATAGTCCTCAAACCTATTAGTGATCAGTGTTCCAAAATATTTAATTGGAGACATGAGTTTAATATGTGACAGTGTCGGAGCCAGGGGATCTGCGGAGGGTCCAACATGAGTAATTTAGACTTTTCCCAATTGATACATATCCTGGAGTAGGTGCCAAAATCAGTCATAAGAGATATGGCAGAGGAGAGGGAGTCATGGGTATCTGAAAGAAATAGTAAGATTTTATCCTCGCAATACCCCTTACAGGTCAGAAGAATAATCAAAAGAGCCAGGAGTAACATGAAACCATAGTGCTTGTAAACCTCAATGGGAAGCCCATCACTCCCAGGAGCTTTACAATTGGAGAAATTTGCCACCGCTATTTTAAACTCTTGAAAATTGAGTAGTCCATCCAAAAAATCCCTGTCAGAGTCAGATGGGTAGGCAATTAAACCTGGTGTAGGAACTGTGTAAGGTCTAGTTCAGAGTAATGGGCCCTAGTACAGCTCCCGAAAAAAGTATCGGAAGGCACTAGAAATATCTAGACAAAAATAAAAAAATAGCACTGGAAAAACATCTCTCATAGCACCAGTATATGGTATGGTTGACTGGGGGCAAGGAGGTTACCCACCATCCATGAAGCCATGTATTCCTGTCACAACAAAGTGCTTGCTTAAATCTCTGGACACTGGTCTTAGTATGTATGGTCAGCACTAACATTTTCAAAACCCTAGTCAAGATACAATAACTAAAACATGCTTTTGGTGAGGCTTTTGGATCTAGAGCTCATCTTAACTGCCTTGTTAATCAGACATCCTTATCTATCATCTCCCTTTCCCTTACCATAAACATAATGTAATAAATTGCCTTTATGAATATAGATTTTTAGTAGGGTTTAGAGTAATTGGTATGAATGTTGGTCACATTAGCCAATATTCAGATTTTGACTGTTTTAATTAAATGGGCTATAGAGGCAGTTTCTTTTCAATGGTATGTGGCAAAAATGTAGAACATGCTGAACCAACTGCTCTTAGGTCCTCTAACTGAAGTTAATTTTTCTCCTTTCAGGCCACAGTGGCTGCTTTTGCAGCAAGTGAAGGTCATGCCCACCCACGTGTAGTTGAACTTCCAAAAACTGATGAAGGACTCGGGTTTAATATTATGGGAGGAAAAGAGCAAAACTCTCCGATTTATATCTCACGTATCATTCCTGGTGGTGTGGCTGACCGCCACGGAGGGCTAAAACGCGGAGATCAGCTACTGTCTGTCAATGGCGTGGTGAGTGAAACGGCACAGAAGTTGAGAAAATATTACGGTAACATCTAAACAGTTGCCAAGTTTCATATTACAACACATTATAGTAAAGGCAGGAGCTGTAGTTTTATCCATTTTGATAACTATTGCAAAAAAAATTCAAACTTCTCTACCTTGCATCAGTACATCTTAAAATATGCTCCATCGTCAATTATTTTCTGTATCTTGTATGATGTATGACTACTTGCTCCAATTTGCAAATTTTCCTATTGTCGAATTTTATAAGGATATTTTTCTCCCTAAAAAAAATTATTATGGAGTTCCTACACATCTAAATTGACTTAAAAACATACTATATAAATGTATCTAGATATAAATATAAGAGGAAAAAGTGTTTTTCTAATGACATTGGGAACAATTACAATTTTCATTGTTACACTTATTACTATCAGCATCTTGACCAGGGCAGAAATAATGGCGAAGAGGAAAGAATCACCAAATAGCTTAATCTCTCAGTGTCTGCAGAGGAATAATGATGTAAATAGAGAGGTATAAAGAGATATATATATAGTCTTTTTATAAAGGATTATTGCTCTTATTATCTTCTCAAATTTGTAATATAATCATCCTGACCAACCTCCAATCTGACCACTTGACTCGGGCTGAGTCTCCTGTTCGAACTCTACACAGTGACATAGTATATGATCCTCTTTCTAATAGCAGGTATCCACACTTTAAAAATGGATACATGGACAGAGCTGGGGACCCAGACTGTATTGACCTACAGCTCACTTTAAAATTTTTAAAAGTAAAAGTGCTGACTAATGGCAAATACCACAAAATGCAGGTTTAACCATTTTATCTATAAAACCTTCTACTGTGCTCCTGCTTGATTGAGTTTAACTTTTTACATGGGCTTGGCTTTCCCTGACGTCACCGCAAAGCCATGCCAACTTCCACTCCACTGTGACTTTCTCAGTGACCAACAAGAGCATTCTCAATGGATAGTGAGTGGTAGTTGGTGTAGCTTAAATAAACACCTTAAACTTGCATGACTCAAAGCCCCTAGTAAGCAAGTAAACTATAGAAGAATGGGGTACGGAGTCCACTCAAACAAAACATCCTGGTTTTGCACTTAACAGATCACACTCACAAATCAATCCTCTGTAGCAACCTAACAAATACCGGCGCCGCCGGTTGCAAGAGAATAGCCAATATGGACGTTTTGTAGAAACACAGATGAGGCAGCTCCCACCGGTCAAATAGACCTTCGATCTGGGAAGTACAAAGCAAAACAGAGCGCCTCCATCGTGTAAAAAGTCATTTATTTATACGGCAACACAGCTGAAATTATACTCACAAAAGGGTCGATCAATAAAATCATGTAAAAGGCGATGCAATGGAAATCTCTGGCAGCGGGAGTTTCACAGAATGAAACAGATCAAAGGTCCTCTGCCCCTATGAGTTCGAACGGTCTACGCGTTTCAGGGGCACGCGCCCTTCATCAGAACCTGGATGAAGGGGGCGTTTAATGCTGAGACCACCGTGTGGTCATATATGTAATAAAATATATATAGGTGTATTCAGTGAAATACATATTGTCTTTAAAAAACATGATGCATTCACAACCATACATAATAAATAATGTTTATGTTATTTTTGGAACATACTGTATATATGCAAAGATGTCAGTACCCCATGCCAACCGCAATCTAGGTAATAGAGCACACTCATTAGTTCAACAGTATTGCAGTTGCTATTAACCACAAGAAGAGATATTGCAGTGACAGAATATCTTAACTGCTCGAGCAACATCCATTGCCTTGAAACACTGAGGTCCCTGGTTCAAATCCTGGTCAGGACACTATCTGCAAGTAGTTTGCATGTTTTAATAATAATGTCCTTCCAGAGCGGTATAGTCACAAATCCCTGGGGTAATCTGAGGACGCTGTCATCCCAAAGTGAGGATCCAGCGGAAGAGGCTGGCCAACCAACCTGACTAGTTTTGTCGGTACACACCAGCTGCATCAGAGATAGGCGCTAATCTGTTCCCTGAAGGATACTTTATGGGTATGACTGCCATGTCTAAACTGGAATTATGAAAGTATACTAAACATATAAGACACACGGGGCAGATACTATCTCAGTATGTCTGCCGTACCCTAAACTAATAAAACTGCTTGCAGAAAACACACATGCACCCTGCTGTAAAAGAAAACATGATTCATCAGACCAGGCACCTTTTTCCATTGCACCGTGGACCAGTTCTGATGCTCACATGCCAATTGTAGGCACTTATGGTGGTGGACATAGGTCAGCATGGGCACTTTGACCAGTCTGCTGCTACACACAGACTGCAATGCACTGTGTGTTCAGACACCCGTCTATTGGATTCAGCATGAACTTTTTCAGCAATTTGAGCTACAGTAGCTCTTATATTGGATTGGACTACATGGTCTGCAGCTGCATTCAACAAACTGCTATGCACTGTGTATTCAGGCACCTTTCTATTGGGTTCAGCATTAACTTTTTCAGCAATTTGAGCTACAGTAATTCTTCTTTTGGATTGGACTTCATGGGCCAGCCTTCTCTCCTCACGTGCATCAATGAGCCTTGGCCGCCCATGACTCTGTTATTGGTTCATTAGTTTTCCTTCTTTGAACTATTTTTGGTATATCCTGGCCACTGCAGACTGGAAACATCCCACAAAAGCTGCAGTTTTGGAGTTGCTCTGACCCAGTCATCTAGCCATCACAATTTGGTCCTTGTCAAAGTAACTTCCATTTTTTCTGCTTCCAACAAATCAACTTCAGGGACAAAATGTTCACTTGCTGCCTGATATGTCCCACCCACTTCCAGGTGCCATTGTAACGAGTTAATCATTGTCACTTCACCTTTCAGTGGTCATAGGGGGAAGGGAGGGGGTTGGGGTTTTATTACGTATTGTTGTGAATTTACCATGGCATAAATTATATTTTTTAATCTATATAATGCATATTATATAGATTAGCATTGAAACTTTTCAGAGGACTGATTTTGGGGTGTGGTAAGTAAAAAAACAGGTTGTTTAATTTGTGTTTGTATAGTTGGTGTAGCTTCAAATTAAAGAAGGTCAGGAGACATTAAAAAAAATGGGACACATTTAGAAAGAGGCAAATATTGGGCTTTTCTGGCTAAATAAATGGCATCTATACTTAGGCAGGATGTTTACTTTTAATAGTTTGGGATACAGGTTGATATTAAAAAACTGTGCCAGCCCTTTTGACAGTTTGGAGACGGTGTTTCTGTAAAAGGTGAGAAATAGATTTATTTATAATTTTACTGGGTAGCTTTGTACTATTTCAGGCCTGACAGGATAATTGCAATTATCCTTTAAACACTTAATATAACTCTTCGGTGATTAACTGTCTGATTTTGTGCACAAGAATAAGTCAAGCACAATCACCACACAAAAAACAGTTTTATGTTATTAGACTGCGTGTATGGGTCTTGTTTAAAAATGTGATGCAATATTAGAATATTATGCGCATTTTGTCTCTCATTCCTCTGCAGAGTGTGGAAGGAGAGCAACATGAGAAAGCGGTAGAGCTTTTAAAGGCAGCACAAGGGACTGTAAAGCTGGTTGTGCGCTATACCCCAAAAGTACTGGAGGAGATGGAGGCCAGGTTTGAAAAAATGAGGACAGCCCGACGTCGGCAGCAGCAAAACAGCTACACGTAAGAAACTGGCTGGTTATAAATATGCTGTCCTCTTTCCCAGTCTTTCTGCTCTCTTAATTATCCCTAATAGAATGAAGAACTTCAGGGGTCGACACCAAGTGTTAAGATCTCTTCAAAACCAAAATGAAAGCAACAGGAAGGACAAAGTAGGAGCTACAGAACAAGATTTCTCAGACAAATAAAGAGGACCAGTAATAAATGGGCTTTTGTAACAATCTAAATATTCAGAGCTAACTTAATATACTATACCAGTGCAGGCCTACACGTGAAAGGTTTACCTTTCCATAAATTGATGTATCCACTTTGTATGAATCTAACTGTTCATCTTGAGTGTAGGGGTGAAAAGCCACTTCAAGTCTAATAGTTGTCCTGTCAACTACCTTACTTTAGGGACTGCACACTTAGAAACTGGGAAACACATATTTTTGCTGGATTCTCCATGGTAATAGATTAAGGGATAAAGTTACACAACTAACTATAAAGCTATGAAAGAGAATATGGGTTTACTGTAGGTTATGAAGGAGATTGCAGGAAGGGGAGGTTGTCTTTTTCTCAGGAAAGAGATTTCTACACTATATTTCTGGAAATGTGGAAAGCAACCACAATACTATTCAGGTGTATTGTGGTTGCTTTCTAATATTTACATTTCTTTAAAAAAATTAGAATTTAGTTTTATTAATCAACCAAGTTAACATGAGATGGCTGGGCCATTATGCCATATACAGTACTTCCTCTGTCACAATTCACCCCTTTTTACATTAGGGATGTTAATCAGGTCAAAAAAGGATACTTATAAAGGAAGTATGCAGAAAAAATAAAAGTTCCCACTTTATATAATTAGTGATTTATTACATGGACACATAAAGTTTTACCAGAAATCACAAAAGCTGTTTTGCATATACATGGGCTTTTTATATGTTTAGGCAAAACAGCCTTTGTAATATGTAGTAATTCATTGCTTATTTTGCCAGTACCATTTAACCTCTCTGGGCACACCTCAAAAAAGGATGTATACAGTTCAGGAAATCACAGTGCTGATGCTGAAGAATTCAAAGTTTTTATAATGACCGAAACAGCACAATTATTATTTATCTCTAGTGGCCAAAAATATCTGTTTCACTAATTCATGGTCTTTTCATATTACTTCCCATTGTTTATACAAGCTGAAACTATTTAGTGTAGTTTGTACTCCATTACTGTGGTGTGTAGAATATCAGCTTCCCCTCTTGTAGTTGTTTATTACTTCATCATCATCATCATTACGAAGTCTTTATCATTATCTTTGTGTAATCTATTACAGTCACTTTGGCTCATCTAGTGTGTCATATCTGTGATGAGCGAATTGGCTCAGGTTCAATTTGTGGGCTATTAGGTGAATTATGCTCAAAATTCAGAAAAACTGAACTTTGCCACATATTTAATTGAAGTCTATGGGTTGGGGAAATATTATTCAGTTTTGGCCATTGGTAGGGCTAATGAGCAAGCTATTGTCAAATAAAAAAGGCATGAGAAATCAGGCACTGCCATGGGCAACATGTACCAATGCCAATATTTTTCTTTAAACAAATACCATACAGTGAGGAGAGGGCCCTTTTCATGTGGCTTCAATGGCAACATTGAAAATGCATACATCTTTTAACTTACAGGCTGTACATGGTGTTACGGTACAAGTAACATTTTCACAAACAGCCTCAGCAACAGCATACTCTGGCAGTGCATATACTGCTGTGGAATTAATTTCTAACTTCTATATTTGATAAGGTACTTAAGAGTTTAATAAAGGACCGTATAGAACAAGTTTTGCTAGAAAATTATATTAATAATATAATTGATAGTTCCTGAATGTTGTCAAACAAATCTACTTTTATATGGAGAAGTAGGCAGAAACGAAGACAAAGGAGACAAAGTAGCTGTGGATATAGTATACTTGGGCATTGATAAGCGTTTGACACAGTTCCCCACAGATACCGTAATCAGAGAATAGCAATCAGTTATTCATGAATGGTCTAAGGTTGTTAGTTATGTACCTTAGTTCAGTGTTGTGACCCTTACTTTTGAACCTTTTTATAAATAATATAGCTCTTAAAAGTGCCAATTCTGTGTTTGCAGGTGACACCCTGCAAGATTTCCAAGCAGGTCTGAATGCACATTTTAATTTGGCAACTGTGTGGCAAATACGGTTTAATGTTGATAAATGTTAAGTTATGCAATTGGGGGATTTAAATATGCATACATCATACATTCTAGGGGGGAGTCAATAATCAGGAAGGATCTGGGTGTTCTGGTAGATTATAGGCTTAAAAACAGCATGTAATCCCAAACTGCAGTTTTCAAAGCAAGCAAATTAATTTCATGTAGAGGTATAGACTCCTAAGAGAGAGAGAGAGATACCTAATCTTGCCCCTGTACAATGCATTAGTAAGTCCATTAGTAAGATATGGAATGTGCAGTTCAGTTTTGGGCGCCAGTTTACAAAAAGGATGATGTGGAACTAAAGACAGTGCAGAGAAAGGCAACCTAAAGGGGTTCTAAACCCTCCCATTTTTTTGCTTACAGTATATCTACTGCTATCAAGCAGTAGATATAGGCAAACAGTTTTTTTTTTTTTTAAACCCCGCTGTAACATCTGTTTAAACTTACCTTGTTTTCACTGATCGCTCCTGCCCGAGAAAATTAAATCTGTTCGGGCGGCCGCAAAGCATCTTGGGGCTGGCACATGCGCAGTTCGGATTCTCGGCCGGGAGACGAGCAGAGACGCAAGGTAAGTCTATGGACGCGTGCACCCGCATGCAGACACCGTGGGATCAGAAGTGCCAGCAAGCAGAGAGGAGTCAGGGCTGGATCGGAGAGCCGCCGCACCGCTGGAGGTTCAGATGAAAACATCAGGAAAGAAGAAGAAGATCGGATTAAGAGACATGCTTTAAGGTAAGTGCTGACATTTACATTGGGGGGAGGGGGAAAAATGTATCCTTTAATGTCACTTTAACTAATAGGAGGCATGGAGGACCTAAGTAAGAACACATAAGATTGTTGATTCAGGAAGTATTCAATTGCTTTGGGGATCAGGAAGATTTTTTTTTTTTACCCATTTGAAGCAAATTGGACCATGCTTTAAAAAGTTTTTTTGCATTCCCTTGGATCAACTGTGGATTTGGGGTTCTGTGTATGCAAGTTTTTGGTTTATTTATTGGTCTTTTTGGACAATTAGCTTGCCTCACATACAGCAGCCGTACCCCAATCTGATTCCTTTAAAAAAATGTTTTTATAGTAGTTTTAGCAGTTTTTTTTATCAAGTAGTACTACGCCTGCTTTGAACGGTGTAAGTAACAGCCGCAACAGTTCTAAAAGTCATAAGAATATGTCTGTTAAAAGTTGGCCAGTGACAAAACAGTATAATGACATAGGTTTTGAGATTATATTTTTAAGACAATACCACATGGCATTATCTGAAAAGTTTAAAATAAAACTGTTCTCCAGCAATAAAAAATTAGAGTGTAGTGTTTTATATGGTTTATTTCATGCTTTATAGCAGTTTTTTATGCCTTCCGCTGGATCAACTGTGGGCATAGGGTTCTGTTTTAGGACGTTTGTTTTTTCTTCTCTCTATAGGTTGAACTCTATGGATTTGTGTCTTTTTTTCAACCAGACTAACTATGTAACTATGTTTTAGACACAACATCAAAACAATTTAAGAGCAGCAGGACAATACAGCTAGAACAGGGCCTTGGGAGAGACAAGCCAGGGTTTATCCTACCATATAAAAATTTTATATTTGTACTTACCATAAAATCCCTGTCTCAGAGTTCATCGAGGGACACAGGAACAGTAATAGACTGTAGATTATGTAGTGCTGCTTTAAAGGAGAATGGACCCTAGTGCAAACAAGGCTGGAGGCCAGCCCTAGGGTATATAAATCCTCCCACACAGTTATGGTCACACTGTTTTGTAGCAAGCAGTGCAAATAAATTGTGTGTCTCTCAATTGACTCAATAAATACAAAAATCTAATTTATTCTATTGTCCATTGAGAGACACTTTCCTTCTACCTCGATTCTGCTGAGCAGATGAGAAAGCAACTCTTTCTGATAACCACAACCACTGCACTTGTAGTGTGCCCAGAAGCTTACTTCATCCTGCAGACTGGTGTCCATCGTCACTACCTACAATCCTAGAGATAGGAAGGCCTACCTGACAACAACATAGTGAAGTCCTGGCTCCTGGACACATATAATTGTGACTGTCCAGCCAAGGGGAGGTGGCTTAGAGGACATTCTTCTACAGACATCTTGGGTAGAACTAAAGGAATAGCACTGACTTGAAGGAGGATACCAAGACCCATAGCCTTTGTTCAGGGCCTTAGAGACATCTAAAGGTAGACTTACCCGGGACTGCAGCCTTCATCAACAAATAGTGGCCATAGGAGGGGCCAACACCTTGGTTAGAACCCATGGTGCCAAGGATAACCTGAAAGAAAATACCACAACAGGAAAAAAGGTAATTACTTACCATGAATCACAGAACACACTGATGACCCGAAGGACAGAGAAAAACTACAGAGGGAGTTGATAAATAACAGGATTAATCCACCACAGGTGTACCAAGGTTCGCTTTGCTAGAAAGGGAAGCATATCTCTTATGCTTGGGAGTAAAAGAGTGTTAGTTATACTCTTAACACAATTGCATCCGCAGCCCCCTAACTGCAATCACAGCCCCGTACAGTAATCTCATTCCCTCATAACTCTTCACAACCCCTCAGAGTACTCACAGCCCCTCACAGTAGTTGCAACCCCTGACAGCACCCACAGTAGTCACGGCCCCTTGCAGTGGCCACACGCCATTTGAAGTAGTTGCAGCCTTTCACAGCACACAGCCCCTCACATTACACAGCCTCTCACGGCCCCTCTTAGCAGCCACACTATTCACAGAGAGCCAGTCAGCCACAGGGCCAGCTTCCTCACCCCCACACACAGTGGCAGACAGATACTTGTAGCCAGGCAGCCCAAACTGCAGTCTCCTCAAGGCACATGAATGTTCAGAAGGTTCTGTTTTTCGTGCATGAACTTTGTGACATTTGTTGGTGCAGTATGTCCTTGATATAAACCCTGGAACTTGAAAAAGGTTAGGAAAAATATAGAACATACATTAGGACAAGTTTGTCAACTAGGAAAAACATAGGCATTCAGGGACTCCAGAGGCAACGTTATGCTGCCGTTACCAGTAAGGGAGAGAGAGATGCATTTTGTCGGCAGGTGAGGCTAATAGAATTTGTTCCATTAGCAATATCTATAAACAGGTAATATATTAGTCAGGTAAGAGACAAGCCACTAGGAAGATTTAAGCAAGTTTATAATTGGTGTTAGATTCTCACTCCGGTGTGATTTTAGTCGGGGGATTGTTACTTTTTGTACTGTGCTCATTTTCTAGAATTCTGTGCCTTTTTTTCAAGAGGGGCTGGCCTTTCTCAAATGTGAATATTACACAATTTCTCACTCTTTTGCTTACAATTATTTTGAAACCCCATATATAAGGGATTTTGTGGCGTAAATTAGCAACTGGCAATAGTCCTTTTCTTTCATTGACTGTTGCCTGTGATAGGCCTGCATGTAGTGATATGGGTCTGGTAATGGTAAGACAGTTCTTGCTGTTGATATGAGTTCTTTTACATGGTAAAAATGTATGCAAGCTATCACGTCGTTTGTCAGGTAGCGGTGGTTCAGGCAACTGATCTGTCAATGATCATTTCATGTTGAGGGATAAAAGATGAGAAATAGTTTGCTGTGCTTATGGCTTTAGTCCAGCTGATGTTATTGATTCAGCCACGCCTCTAACTTTTATAATACTTTGGTGAGACCTATCGTCTAGGTTGGCCATCTTTAGTTTCAGTTGTGGAGGTCATCTTCCATGGTGTTATGAGCATCTACAGAGTCGTTCTGGGCTTTTGCATATTCGGCCATTTTTTTTTCTCTATGCGGCTTACACTATCACCAATGTCTTGTATGTCTGTTTTAATTCCATTTGGCATAGAGAGCATATATTCTTGCAAAGAGTCTCTTAGTGTGATCATAATTTTAAGTATAGCATCAGAGATGTTATGTTATCATAGATCTGCATCTGTAGTGTTCTCTTTTCTGCTGTTGCGAGTGAGCCAGACATATGCCTATGTTAGGTAAAGAGTGTGTGGAGGTTGAGGACAATGAACAGCTTAATTTGCTATCTTGTCCTCTGGCTGCGTCTGACAGTGCATATAAATCTATCAGTCAATGCAGCCTTTCTCTGTAATTCCTCTTCCTTGTCATAACGCCGACCATTTAAACCATTGTTTAAATGGCAGCCTTGTGCCAGTCTTGATATGTAAATACGTGCCAGGTGTCTTTAGTATGACCACTCTGGTGGGGCCATGTCCTTAATGTTGCAGAGAGCACACATAATTATGTGGCATGGCACTCTGCAACATTCTCCTCTGAGTTCAGGCACTGACCTTGCTGCCCTGTGCTCACAGCAAGTAGGTTGGAAAATGCTCAGGGCTCAGTCAACAGGCTTTGAATCCAGGGGCAAAAAATACCTTACTTTGAGGAGTATGACAGATATCTGAGCTTCAGCAGTTCTGGTAGCTTAGACGGATGTATGACATGTTATGCTCACTTTAAGAAAACTGGTCATAGTAGGTTGAGTCTCCTTTAGGCTTCTTATATCTAAAAGGGAATTTAGTAGTAAAATCTCCCCACTGGACTTCCTGAATTTAGTTTTCCAACCATAGGGCCTTACATCTACGTACATACCCTTGTTATGAAGCTAGATTTTTTTTTCAGGCTGTGCCATCTGTGGAGAAGGTGGTGGTGGAGGGGAGGACATTTTTACTTTGCCTTATGGCACCCTAATACCTCTTGCTGCAGAACATGATGCTCACAGTAATCAAAAACATTCTAGCTATTTGTTTTACAGTATAGGTTCAAACAGGAAATAAATGACCATTATGACCAACACTGCTGATTTTTCCTCATATACTATTTATAATGTGTGGACTAGAGCTAGACCCTTGCATCTAGTCTGTCTGTTTGTGTTCATCCTAGTATACAATAAATATCGGATTGATAAAAAAAATCCTCTTCTTCACCTAGAAACACATGATGCTAACACTGTATTATCATTTCACAATTTTCTTTATAACACGAGGCACCTATTTACTAAAGTGTGAAAATGCCGTGAAGTGTGGCTAAGTAAACCTTTGCTTGATAAACTAAGGATTAATGTGAAGTGAAATGAATTCCATCATCCACTTATGTGAGGAGTCACGTTAGGTTTTTAATTTCTCCTGCACATGAATGGATGTAAGCAGAATCTTTTCTTCTTATATCACTTCATTTTTGTAGTGGTCTATTAACCCTCACTTTTGTCTTGCAGGTCTCTCGAGTCCCGAGGGTAACTGTTGCATCCTGGATGATCCCTAAGCTCTGGACCTTTTAATCTGTATTTATTAACACAAGTCGTATCAGATCTGTGTACAATATTTATTTCTGTTGTGTGTGTACTGGAGAGTTGCAAGGCGTGTGCTTGTGTGTAAACAATAATTGCCCCCAAAGTTCCAAAGGCATGGAGTTGTGGAAGTACATTTGTACTATGGATCCTTTATGTTGGCCTTGCCTGGTACATGGAAACTGGCACTACAAGTGTATTTGATAACTTATTCCTTACAGATATAAAGATAAAGGGTCCAAAGGGGGAAAACTGATTGGACTTTACATCAGCCAAATCTTATGGCCAATTAGTGTAATTCTGCTGCAATCAATAGATGCTGAGAAATCTTACCTTTACACAAGGCATTTGCAGGGAAATTAAATATGATGTGCAGTACCTACTTGCAGTCTGTAAGTGGCACTGTTGTTAGAGGGCTCAGAAGCTGTCAAATCTTTTTAGAGGAGGCAAGTGGTAGTTGCAAACTATGAAATTTTTTCGTTTCATTATCGGTTACGGTCAACAAGTACCTGCGATGTCAAAGAGTAGTAGATCCTAAAAATACAGTTTACTGGTTTCTTTTAATAACTTTTAGAAATACAATTCAACTGATTTGTTTAAAAACATATAAAAAAATTAAAAAACGAGAAGGACTCTCACACTGAAACAATATATAGCAAATAACAAGCACCCCAGTATAGTGTAATTATTAATTTATATTTATTATTATTTGTATTTATTAATGAAAGTGTGAATATTGAATTTACATTTGTCCTCCGCAAATCAGGTAATCAGAGGTGTAATAGTACTTTCTCTGCATGACATTACATTTCCTACTGCAGGCCATAAGAAACAGATTCCTGGAGCCTTCATCATTTCCCCTATATCTGTGGGCTTTTTAATGTTCTTACACTGTGCGCTAAGTGCATGCATACTGAGGGGTAAGTTATTAACAAAAAGAGGCAAAGACATTTTGGAAAGGCACCATATTGGAAGCAAAGTGGAATGGTATATTATAAATTGTAATTGTAGGGCTAATGCATTCTGGGAATCATCCCCTTCCACACTGCTGTTTAACGTCTAAATATCCAGTGTAAGGTAACCTGTAAGAATAAAGCCCCAAGCAAGAGGATGCAGTTTCCTGAAATGTGTCAGTTTTCCATCTACACCGCATTGGGGATAGAGACAGCAATACAAATGGATCTAATCTTTCTCTGCTTTGCAAAAAAAGGTGTTTTAATTCTGTTTGTATCTCCTACTCCAATGTTAAGGAACAAGGCGTAATGCAAAAGCTCCCTAATAGTGACCCAGTCAATAAAACCTGGCACATACTCTGTCTCTTCCATTCTAAAACTTAAAGAAAATAAAAAGCTGCGCTTCATATATTTACCTTACATAGTTATATATAAGTCTTAAAGGCTAGTGCAGACCTGGGCTATCCAGGTCGCGTGTCCGGGGACCCTCGCAGTCGTCTGCAGTTGCACACAGAGGTTTCTGTGGGGCCCCATTGATTTCAATGGGCTTACATCCGCGTGGCAATCACAGAAAAAAGGTACATGTACCTTTTTTAAATCCGCAATTGTGTTCGATTGCACGGGCAGAATTGTGGCGGGAAACTGCACGATCCGTCTGGCGCAACTGGGGTACCATTAGAAATAATTGGCGTGATTGGCGGTGGTGGGCAATTCCATGATCGTGCGCCCATCCTCGCAGTTTCATGCACGATTTTCGCACAGTCATGGATCACTATAGTGTGAACCTAGCCTTAAATTATATTTCTGTCTTGTTCACTCAAACGAAAAAGTAAAGCCTATGTATTAAAAGTGTAGCTGCTGTGCCATTTGACTAATTTCTGTTTGTGCAAAATATCAAAGAAGGACTGTTATTTGATTAACACACTGCACAATATTTTCTTGCCACTTTGGAAGGCAGGAATACTTGTGTACAGTTAAATGGTATGTTGGTGTTGCACCTTCCCTGTGTGAGTGGCCTGACCCCAAAGTTGTGCTAATAATTAAAACAACATAATTATAATTAATCTTTATCCATATACAGTTGTGTGAAAAAGTGTTGGCCCCCTTCCTGATTTTTCATTGTTTTGCACGTTTGTCACACTTTCATGTTTCAGATCATCAAACAAATTTAATTATTAGTCAAAGATAACACAAGTAAACACAACATGCAGTTTTTAAAGGAAGGTTTTTATTATTATGGGAAAACAAAATCCAAACCCACATGGCCCTGTGTGAAAAATAGTTTGCCCCCTAAACCTAATAACTGGTTGGGCCACCCTTAGCAGCAAGAACTGCAATCAAGCGTTTGCGATAACTTGCAATGAGTCTGTTAAAGCGCTGTGCAGGAATTTTGGTCCACTCATCTTTGCAGAATTGTTGTAATTCAGTCACATTGGAAGGTTTTCAAGCATTTTTAAGGTCATGCCACAGCATCTCAATAGGATTCAGGTCAGGACTTTGACTAGGCCACTCCAAAGTCTTCATTTTGTTTTTCTTCAGCCATTTAGAGGTGGACTTGCTGGTGTGTTTTGGATCATTGTCCTGCTGCAGAACCCAAGTTCGTTTCAGCTTGAGGTCACAAACAGATGGCCGCACATTTTCCTTCAGGATTTTTTGGTAGACAGCAGAATTCATGGTTCCATTTATCACAGCAAGTCTTCCAGGTCCTGAAGCAGCAAAACAGCCCCAGACCATCACACTACCACCACCATATTTTACTGTTGGTATGATGTTCTTTTTCAGAAATGCGGTGTTACTCTTACGCCAGATGTAATGGGACACAAAAAGTTCAACTTTTGTCTTGTCAGTCCACAGAGTATTTTCCCAAAAGTCTTGGGGATCATCAAGATGTTTTCTGGCATAACAGAGATGAGCTTTTATGTTCTTTTTGCTCGGCAGCGGTTTTCGTCTTGGAACTCTGCCATGCAGGCCATTTTTGCCCAGTCTATTTCTTATGGTGGAGTCATGAACACTGACCTGAACTGAGGCAAGTGAGGGCTGCAGTTCTTTGGATGTTGTTGTGGGGTCTTTTGCGACCTATTGGATGAGTCATCTCTGTGCTCTTGGGGTAATTTTGGTTGGCCGCCCACTTCTGGGAAGGTTCACCACTGTTCCATGTTTTTGCCATTTGTGGATAATGGCTCTCACTGTGGTTCGCCGGGGTCCCAAAGCTTTTGAAATGGCCATATAACCTTTTCCAGACTGATAGATCTCAATTACTTTCTTTCTTTCTCATTTGTTCCTGGATTTCTTTGGATCTCGGCATGATGTGTAGCTTTTGAGGATCTTTTGGTCTACTTCACTTTGTCAGTCAAGTCTTATTTAAGTGATTTCTTGATTGCGAACAGGTGTGACAGTAATCAGGCCTGGGTGTGGCTAGAGAAATTGAACTCAGGCGTGATAAACCAGAGTTAAGTTATGTTTTAACGGGGGGGGCGCAAACAGTTTTTCACACAGGGCCATGTGGGTTTGGATTTTGTTTTCCCTTAATAATGAAAACCTTCCTTTTAAAAACTGCATGTTGTGTTTACTTGTGTTATCTTTGACTAATATTTAAATTTGTTTGATGATCTGAAACATTAAAGTGTGACAAACGTGCAAAAAAATGAAAAATCAGGAAGGGGGCCAACACTTTTTCACACAACTGTAGATGCAATCAGCTATTTGTAGCCACAAACACGATAGTCAGGCATCTGAAAATTAATAATATATCAAAAGAATCTCACAGACTTTTAATAACATATTAGCTAGAGTGATCATATGATCTATAGCTGCGCAGCAGGAGATTCTACTCTTATCCGTGTGATATGACAGTCTTCACATTTTGCCACTTGACAGTTTACTTTTTTTGCAAGCTGAAAATGATTTACCTAGCATAGGCTCCTGAATATATCAATACATCTTGCATTGCACAAAACAGGACCATAATGTTGATGTTTTTTTTAATTTTTTATAAACTGAATGCTGTAAAAAAAAAAACTGGGGTAGGAGAAAGAATAATACTGGATTTATTTTGACTTTTGGTATTTACCAGTGATGAAGATTTTAGTGAATTTTGGAAGTGCCCTAACATTTTTCAGGGCTGGATTTACCATAAAACATAATGCTTGGGCCCTTGCTGAAGGGGGGCTGTGCAAAACACCTCATCAGTCTCATTCAGGGGCGTCCCAAGGCCAGGTGTCACCCAGAGCGGTTACCGGGTGACACCCCGCTGTGACATCACCGCGCATGCTCGGCAATCTTATTGATACCTGCCAGTGGCCATCTTGGTGATGGACGTTGGCAGGGAGGGGACAGTCAGCCGGCGGGATAAGGTATGCTCCTCTCTCCCGAAACTGACGGGCACTCGGTCCATGACCAAGTCCCCGACTTTTCAAAGGTGGATGACACCAAAACGACTCAGTCATTTTGGTGTCACCCGGGTTTGGGCCACACCCCCCTTGTGATGCCACTGGTCTCATTACACCTTTAAGCTACCTTACTGCTTTGTTGCAGATGTAGTAACTTTTCAGGTATCCCCTCTCTGGCACTAATTCCTTTTTGCCATTAGACCTCCTCAGTCTTCAGGGTTGAAAGATGCCCACTGTCGTTCAACCTGTAAGATTGAGGGTATTCTGTGAGTTCAGAGCATCATAGACCCACCTTTTCAGGGGTGTCATCACATCTCCCAGAACTTTTTTTATTGTAATGATGCAGAGAGCAGTGCTGAGGTAATTACGCCAGTGCCATTGTGCATCATTTAGGACAGTCCACTACTGGAAGAAGATCCCAAGTGAAAAAGGTCCCTGCATATCCTGTGACTGGCCTGAAGATATCTGGATAATGTGGGTGTATAATATACAAAGCCCTTGCTAATATAAAGGGTGGGGAGAGGATTGGCTGGTGGTGGCGGAATCCCATAGTTGACCTTTAATTTCCCTTCCCCATTGACTCCAATGCATTTCACCAACATTTCCGGAAAATAAAAACTTAGTTCGCTGATCCCTACAAGCCACAAACAATTTTTATCTGGTTTGTTTTTGTTATTAAATCCAGAAATTCTTTTTTTTTTTAAATGAATATTTTAGGACTATATTTAAGTATAAGCACATTATTGCACAAACCGTTACAATATATGGCTTAGTCTGACAATACATTTTATAGAACCAGAAAGGTCTGCAATAGAAAAGATATAATTGGTCAAGTGGAGAGATTAAAAGCTTGTATAGATGCAAG